TAGTCCTCGCTTAATGACTGTTGCTTATCAACCATTCAAAGTTACGACGGTCTCCAAAAAAAGACATATCTATGTCCCATCTTTGAAGTTGTGACTGCCACATCCCACCCCCACATTTAAAATAGAATAGAGTAGAGCTGGAAAGGACCCTGGAGGCAAGCTGTTCCACTGGTTAATTGTCCTCACTGTCAGGAAGTTTCTCCTTAATTCTAGGTTGCTTCTCTCTTTGATCAGTTTCCAACCATTGTTTCTCGTCCTTCCCTCTGGTGCTTTGGTGAACAACCCCCTCTGCTTTGTGGCAGCCCCTCAGATACTGAAACACTGCTATTATGTCTCCCCTATTTTTTCTTTTCTTTAGACTAGCCAAACCCAAGTCCTGCAGCCGTTCTTCGTATGTTTTGGTCTCCAGGCCTTTTATCATCTTAGTTGCTCTTCTCTGAATTTTTTCCAAACTCTCAACATCATTTTTGTGATTTGGTGACCAAAGTTGGCTGCAGTATTTCAGGTGTGGTCTAACTAGAGTTTTATAAAGTGGTACTAATACTTCATGTGATCTTGATACTATGCCTCTGTTTATACAACCCAGGATTGTATTAGCTTTTCTGGCGGCGGCTGCACACTGCTGGCTCATGGTCAAGTGATCATCCAGTAGGACTCCAAGGTCCCTCTCACAGTTACTGTTTTTGAGCCAGGTCTTGCCCAATCTCTACTTGTATCTTTGGTTTTTCCTGCCTAAATGTAAAACTTTGCTTTTCTCCACACTGAAACTCATTTTGTTGGACAGGGCCCATTGTTCAAGTTTGTCAAGATCTTTTTGGATCCTGAGTTTGTCTTCTGGGATGTTGGCTACTCCTGTCAGTTTGGTGTCATCTGCAAATTTGATGAGTTCCCCTTCAATTCCCTCATCTAAGTCATTTATGAAGACATTGAAGAGTACTGGGCCTAAGACAGAACCTTGTGGTACCCCACTGCTCACTTCTCTCCATGTGGATGTGAATGAGGATTTACATGATAGCATTTCAGCTGCTTGGCAACTGGCTTACATTTACAACCCGTTGCTGCATCCTGTGGGTCAGTGATGGATTTTGTGACTGGTTTTCCCAGTTTCAAGCATTTTCAGGCAAAAACAAAAATCACCCATTCAGGACAATAGATTTGCTTAACGATTATTTGATTTTTTTTAAATGATCACAATGATTCGCTTTATGACTGTCATAAAAATAGTCGTAAAATTGAGTCAGATCACATTTAAAGGTCACAATGACTTATGGACAAATTTCTGGGTTCACTTGTGCTTGTTAAGTAATAGCATGACTGTACATATTCAGCAACGTACTTCTAAAACTGGTTGTGGGGTTTATAGAATATTATTTTTATGTTCTTTCATTAGCCATTTTTTCCTTTTTTGATGCATTTAGTGTGCAGTCCAGAAAAGCCATCTTGACCCATTTTTTAATTTGAAATAAAGAACAAAATGGTGCTCCCTCCAGTTCTAATTTGACTGGGCAGTAAATATTTGTTGATTGTTGGGATGGAATAGCATCAGTCCTGCTTGGAGAGAATAAAAAAAGTCATAACCCAAACAACATGATGCTGCCTCCTGATAGGTGATAGCTGACTACAGGTAGTCCTCAACTTATGACCACAACTGAGCTCAAAATTTATGTTGTTAAGCAAGACATTTATTAAGTGAGTTTTGCCCTACTTTACAATCTTTCTTGCCACAGTTGTTAAGTGAATCACTGCCATTGTTAAGTTAGTAACACGGTTGTTAAGGTTGCAAAAGGTGATCACACCATACTGGGACACTGCAACCATCACAAACACTTGCCCTTGCCAAGGGTCCAAATTTTGATCAAGTGATCATGGGAATACTGCAACGGTTGTAAGCATGAAAAATGATCATAAGTTGCTTTTTTTAGCACTGTTGTAACTTTGAACAGTCACTCAAGGAGGTTGAGGACTATCTGCACTTCACAATGTGCAATATCTCTGCACTGATTCAGCTGATGAATTTTAACAAGGGAAAAAGATAGCATTAAAACTATTACTTCACAAGCCATTTCCAGCAATCAACCCTTCCAAACCTTTTCCCCAATGGTGCCACACACAGCCAGAAAAAAATACTGTCTTTGGAAAGATACTTCACATTTTGAGAAAAAGTTCTCAATCAATTTGAAAGGAAACACATCAGAAATAAATCAAAGCAGACTCAGACATAAGTGTCCAATGTAAGTCACAATGATATCAAAATGATGAGAAATTCATCATGTCATTGCATAAATAATTAAGTAATCTCCATCAAGTGCATGCTGCCTGATACAGAATACAAAATTTTCATCATTTGCATGACAGCATTGTGACTCACAATGTCATTTGCTTCTCTCCTGAAGCCAGCAGATTATCTACAAGTTAACAGAATAACAGAGTTGGAAGGGACCTTGGAGGTCTTCAAATCCAACCCCCTGCTCAGGCAAATGGATTCAACTCATTCCACTGATTAATTTCCTAACAGTCAGGAAATTTATCCTTATGTCTATAGAGATTCTCAGTCATCCAGGGCATGGTTATCCCAAAGGTGCTTTTTCAAGAGGCAACTGGACTTTCTTGTTTTTCTTTCAAGATGTTTCGCTTCTCATCCAAGAAGCTTCTTCAGCTCTTCAAAAGCTTGAAAAAGCACCTTTGGGACAAATTTCTCCTTATTTCTAGGTTGCTTCTCTCCTTGATTAGTTTCCATCCATTGTTTCTTATCCTGCCTTCAAGTGCTTTGGAGAATAGATTGATCTCCTCTTCTTTGTGGCAGCCCTTGAGATATTGGAAGACTGGTATCATGTTACCCCTAGTCTTTGTTTTCATTAAACTACACATACTCAATTCCTGCAACTGTTTTTCATATGTTTTCCTAAATAACCCATGCAAGTTGACCCACTAGTATTCTGCTGTTATATGAAGCCAGCTAAGAGCCTACAAGCTAAAATTCCTTCCTTGAGCCTTTTTTGGATTAGGAAGATTGCAGGGTGCTTGGACACAATATAAAATGGGTAGAATGGGGGGGGATCCTCAACAACTGGACATCAGGAGGAAAAATACTGTATTCAGCCAAACACTTAACTGCAAACATTGTTAATGTTTTACCAATAGAAGATTATTTGTAGCTCAAGGTTGAACTGTGGGGTCAACAATAGCCTAACTGAGGAACCACCAAGAGCACTTCCACCAGCACTGGTATATAAACAGAGATTGAACCCCATTCCCTTCTAGCTCTGATGATGTTACCTAGTTTGTAGTAAAGAAACATCTCCAAGAAAACAAACAAGCTCAGAGAACACCAAGGACCCCACAATGTCAATGTTAGACATGCAAGATCATGTTCAATGAATGAGCTATCCAAAACAAAGTAGGCTGATTGGGTTATGCTCGCTTTTCAAAAAATGAAATCAAATGCATCCTCTTTGAAATAGGAGGGCTCCAGTTTGATACGCAAGGAATGTAAAAGAAAACCTGGAACCTTGTTATCATATACCTGTGTTTCCCCGAAAATAAGACTGGGTCTTATCATGCTAGGGCTTATTTTCCAGTTATTTTCGGGGAAAATGGTATGTTGACATTAGGAAGAATCTTATATGCACAAGAAACTCCACTTCCTCAGGATCTTGTGGAAGCAACATGGTAGAACGACGACTCATAACCCTCTTCTACCGGTCTACTATCGAAAGCGTTCTCACATACTGTATTGTGGTTTGGTATGCTGGCTTGACAGCCGCGGACAGAAAGGTATTATAAAGGGTGGTGAGCACAGCACAAAACATCGTGGGCTGTTCCCTGACACCACTGGATGACATCGCCAGGGCTCATTGCCTTGGTAGAATGAGGAAAATTCTCAGGGATGACTCTCACCCTGGTCGGTACCTCTTTACTCTCCTACCATCGGATAGGAGATACAGAAACATAGCCAGCCGTACCAACAGGCCGAAGAACAGCTTTTATCCATGGGCTGTCAGGCTCTTGAATGGGACATAATAATTTTATGCATGACAGACTCGTGAGGCTGGTGTGCTGTGCAATTAGCTCACAGGGTGAAATAAGTTTGGGGTTTGTAGTCACTGTGACTTGTGGGGGGGGCACGGAGGGAGGCTCAGCCAATCTCACTGTATACATGTTATTCTTTGATAATAAAAGGTTAATTCATTCATTCATGGAAAAACCCATTAATTCCCACAATGGAAGAGTGGATGTAAAGGTAACAGAGCTGGCAAAACTGACTATTTTAACCAAAGAGAAGAATTTATCTAGTTTTGTTTCTACTTGGAAACCACTTCTGGAATTTTTGCTTAAAACTGAAAAAAAGCAAAACATCGATTTTAGGTTTTAATGAGTAGGATGATTTTTGTTATTACAGAAATGGTTTGAAATGTTGTGAAATGCAGAGCAAAAGATTGAGGTTGTATTTTTTTTTTGTTTTGCTGGAGTGAAAAAAGTCAGAAACTACCATTTTTTCCCCTCTCCATTTGCACTTTTTTCTTTCTCTTACTTTTCTAACTTTTTTGGGGGGTTCTTTATTTGTATTTTATAACAAAACTTATAAAAT